CGCCGAATCGGGCAGCAGCAGGCAACGGGATGGCCCTGGTCTGCAGGGAGGGCTGTGCCCCACCAGGCACTGTGTGCGGCAGGGGGGCACCCAAAAGGAGGGCTCGTCCGGGATTTGAACCCGGGACCTCTCGCACCCAAAGCGAGAATCATACCCCTAGACCAACGAGCCTGCATGTAAAGCCCTTTCCATCACTGCTCCTGTGCCCCATTAAGATTTGGACTGATTCTCTGTCCCTATTTTTGTTACTGGGTCTTCTACCAGCTGCTGCCTTTTCTGTGCACCCTCGTCCTCATTTATCCTGAAGGAAACATTGAGGATATCTATCTCCAGTTTTCCTGTGGGCTCCGATGCTGGTAGGATCACCATCCAGTGTAAGCCTGGGCAGGAGCCACCAGCCCTGGGGGGATTTCTTCCTGCCAAATGCTTTTTCTGCCGGAATGGCATAGTGCCTTGTTTCATCCTGAGTATTTCAGCCTTCCTCCTGGATGCCCAGAGCAGTGCTTGGCTGCCTTTCTCTCATCTGACTTGAGATAAGTTTGGCAGGTGTGAACAATGCAGCACCTGCTTGCCAGCTGCTTTCCCCCTTGGCTGAGGCACAGCACACTGGGGTAGGGGTCTGGGGCTCAGGGTGCATGAGGACAGGGTGTCATGGGGCTGCCCTTGGGATGAGGGGACCAGCACCATGGGCGGGTTGGAACCATGGTTCAGCTGATTGAAGAGCCTCTCTACTAAACAGCAGATCCCGGATTTGACCCCCAGTGGTGCCTGGCCTGTGGGCTGATTTTCTTCCTAGCCCCTGGCTGGGGACTCTGCCCGAGGCTGGGATGCCCTATAGCCAGCAGCTGGGTGAGCACAGGACACTGGGGAGACAGTCTCTGAGGTCTGCCCTGCATATGGGAAGAAGGATGATTTCCTTCTGTTCCATACTCCTGGGAAGCTTAAATTGAAGAGTTGGTACAAAAGCTGTCTCAAAATCCAGAATATTTGGGAAATTAAGAGGTACATTTTGCAGACTAGGTTTCTCCTGCCATCTTCCGCTTTGATTTACAGGCATACATGGTACAGAATCACGCAGGAAAATCCATCTGGTTGTAGCCCGGGATGGGAGAAGGGCAATAGGTTGTGGAAACCTACAACTATAAGAAAAAAAAAAAAAAACCAACCAACCAAACAAAAAAAACTAACACATCATAAAGCCTTATTTTTGGCAAAAATAAATGTAGTGGTTCTGCCCACTCTACCCTTTATCACTCTTTGAACTGGGACCGAGAGGAGAGGGACAGAAGAACCACAAACCTCTTGCCGTGCTGTTGAAGGGCAGGAGCACAGCTCGGTCCCACAGCCCAGCTCTCTGGGAGGAGCTGAGGAACGAGTGCTGTGCTGGTAAAACGATGTGCTGGTAAAACGATGTGCTGGTAAAACGATGTGCTGGTAGCTGTGCCAAAAACGAAAAAAATGCCCCAAACTGCATCAAGGCAGGGGACGAGGTGGCCGAGTGGTGAAGGTGATGGACTGCTAATCCATTGTGCTCTGCACGCGTGGGTTCGAATCCCACCCTCGTCGGTTGCCTGGATCCCATAAGGGCTCTTTCTGGGGCCTTCTGGGGCAGCCTGGACAAGAGCTGAGGCTGCATTTTGGTAGCCCTCCGTGGGGCAACAGCAGGTGACTGTGCCATGCAGCCCCGCTCCACCTGCACATCCTCGCCGCCTGTCCCTGGCAACCAGTGCATCAGTGCTTCACTGCAGCCAGGGAAGCATGTTGTGCCAGCCTTGTAGCTGCCTTTTCTACTCCGTGTGCCTCTTTCTGTTGATGAGAACGTGGCAAAGATACGCTGCGTTTGGGGGGGTGCCCACGCTGCAGCCCCTCATCAGCTTTTGGGCTCTCCCTGGGGCTGCATTTCCTCCCTCAGCCTGGTGAGATGCCTTGGAGCCATCAGGAACAGGCTTCCTCTGCCCTTGCATTCGGTGATGAGGCCTCCTGCAGAAACGTGCCGGCCACGGTGATGCCACAGAGCCCCGGTTCACCTGGGGACCCAGCGATTGCGGAGTCAGTGAAACTGGATCTCCTGCAGCCCCAAGGCTTTGGGCGGGCTGTGCTCCCAGGGCTCCCCTAAAGTCTTTGCACGTGTCCTTGTGCAGAGGCCTGTGTCCTCGCTGCTCCATAGGGCTCCCGCGGCAGCCTGCAGTGGGATGGCAGAGGCCGGCATTCCCTGGCCAAAGCCAAGCACAGGTCCCTATCCACCAGCTCTGTAGGGAACTTCTGTGAACTCCAGCAATTTCCATGGGAGGGTTTTTTTTTTGACAGGTGAATAAAACCATCCCCAGCATTTCAGGTTGGATATCAGTAAAAACTTCTCAGAAAGTGCGGTGATGCAGTGGCAGAGCTGCCCAGGGAGAGGTGGGATTGCTGTCCCTGGAGGTGTTTCAGAACCGTGGGCATGTGGCACTGAGGGCATAGAGGGGGGGGATCTTAGAGGTCCTTTCCAACCCGAATGATTCCACGATTCTATGATTTCCACCTGTTCATTGAGATTGCCAAGGTGTTTGGGAACAAAGCTACACAGGACTGAAATGGGTGCACATCCCAGATCCATTGCAAAAGTTAAGAAAATGGGCTTGATGTGTTTGGTTGCACAATATTTTATTGGTTTTGTGGTTTCTCCAGAGAAAGTCCTGTCTCTAGCCGAAAGAGCTCACTGCCTGAAAAGAACAGGGGTTAGTGAAACCAGTCCTGTTTTTCTTCTAGACACCCTCACCCCTAGGAAGAGCTCTTTTCCCTATGGATTTTTTTTTGTTTTAATCTCTCTCATTGCAAAAAAAACAAAAAAAAAACAAAAAAAAAAAAACAACTGATTATTTTGACTTCCTGACCATTGTTTTGCCCTTTCCCTTCTCCAAGCAAAGGACTTTAGTCAGTGCAGAGATCTCTTCACACTCACAATCATGCCTTCTTTAAATACCCCTCTGCTTGAACTGCAAACATCCAGCGTGCCCCGATGTTGTGCTGGAACATGATGATGCAGTGTGAGCAGCCTACTCACCCCAGTAACTAAAGTGACTCTGAAAACCCCTACAAGGCACATCTGTAACAGCGATGCTGAAACCCCCCTGGCTCCACACATGCTTACGGCCCGATACTGCCATAATTTATTTTGGGGCAGAAGGTATTTATGCCTCCACATGGGCTCTGCTGGAATGAAATGAGAAGCCTTCTTCCAGCCTCCCCCGGAGCCTGATGGCTCATTCCCCTGCTTGGTACAACGTCAGCGATTCCTTATCCCCAGCATGTAGCTGATTCATGTTTAAATGCAGGTCGGGACTTCTGCGACTCCCTGTCTCTCTAGCAGGTTAGCAGGGTTCACCAGAGCAATCTGGAGTCACACCTATCATTAGAATGTCTTGGCAGTTTTTCTCCATCACAGGAAAGAATAGCCGTGAACTTCTGACTCAGTGCTCCTAGCGTGTCCCAAGAGCAGGTGGGAAAGTCTCTTGGCCTCTGCCATCAGCTCACTGAGCAAAGTTGGCCACTTACGGTCAGTGTCACCTTCAGGGATGGACTCCAGAGTCTTTTTAACGCCCTTCTGTGTATTTGGTTCGTTTGCTTTTAAAATCTGCTCAACTTTCCAAGCTGAATGCATGCCTCATACCTGAGGAATATCAAAATACGAAATAGTCCACGTGGATCCAAACACATAAACTGGATCCAAATGCATAAACACTTGGTCACGCCAGATCAGCTCTGCTACGTTGGGCTTGCACTGAGCCGTGTCTATGTCTATGCCACCCAGATAGCTGGGGAAGGATGAGGGCTGCAGAACTGCAGCACCACACGTTGGATCATCTCCCTCACCACCCCTCACCTCTGCAGCATCCCCCATCTTCCAGTCAGGATCCCGTGACGCTGAGGTAGTGCAGGAGCCTAGCTGTTTGTACTGAACTTGTGCACAGATGTATTTCTCTTAACTGGGGCTTAAGGCCCCAAATTTATGAGCTTACCTCAGGTGAACTTGGGAGCTGAATTCCCCACTGATTTACGGTTGTGCTCAGAAGAAGGTGGGGAGGGAGGGGAGGTGTGCTGGGGATGCACCTGCCCTAAATTCAGCTGAAGTACTCTCCTGTCTCATAGCATCCAACCTAAAATGTACTTTGGCCCTGGGAGGTAAGATAATTACTGCCTGTAGCTGGAATCATTTCAATCTTACTCAGTACTAAATGGAAGCAAAACATGACAGATGAAAGATGAAACTTTTTAATCAGCTGGGGGAGCTTTCCAGGAGAAAACTGCTGGTTACTGGGAAGTTTCATGTGGAAGGAATGCGCCAGCTCCCCTGGGGGTCGGGGCACCCTATATAACACCAGGTGCTGCTGGGCCCTGCCACCTGCTTCCCAGCTGCTGCATCCTCTGCTGCCCAGGTAAGTTGAGATGCTCCATTCCTTCCTCTGACAGAGCTTCTGTCGGCACTGATGTGCGCTGCCTGGTCCTCAGAGAGGGGTCGAGGTTTGTTGTCTGCCTCCCACCTGCGGAGGCCTCGGGGGAGGGATTCTTCTTGCCATCACATGAGGGTGCAAGGGGATGAGGAATGCAAGGTGAATTGGGTATGTGCCACAGGGATCTGTAGCTACCTAGCCAGGCACGTCCGGCATGGATTTTTTTGCTAAAAAAGAATATAAAGAGCAAAAAGAATAGCACATTCCCTGGTTACAGAGATCAGTGCCCCCCTGTTGAAGGGAGGACAGCAGAGATGCCTTTAATTTTAGCCTGTGCTAAATCCAGCTCACTCGTGTTGCGTTAAGTGTTTTTTACAGCAACAGGAAGCATTCCAGTGAGCACTCTGCTTGCTGAAGGAGCGCTGTCACCTCTCCAGCTCTGCCTCCCAGGGCAGGTCATTCAAATGAAATCAAATTATCCCTACCTCTGGCTGCCAGAGCCACCAAGTTAGAGCTCAGCAGGGAAAGGATGGCATCTGCCCTGCGCTTACGCCCTCCTCTGCCTTCCAGGTGCCTGTTCTCGCCACGCGATGTCCTGCTACGACCTGTGCCTGCCCGCCTCCTGCAGCCCCAGGCCACTGGCCACCAGCTGCAATGAGCCCTGCTACCGGCGCTGCTGGGACTCCACCACCGTCATCCAGCCCCCCACCGTGGTGGTGACCTTGCCTGGGCCCATCCTCAGCTCCTACCCGCAGAGCACCACGGTGGGGTCCACAGCGTCGGCAGCAGTTGGCAGCTACCTCCGGTGCTGTGGGGTGCCAGTGGCCTCCGGTGGCACACGGGGGCTGGGGAAAGGGGCCTTGCTGTGCCTCAGGGGTGGGCTGTAAGGTGTCCCCGTCGGCCAACGCGTCCCACTGAGGCGAGCAAGGAAGGAAAAACGAAGCACGGGAACAAGACTGGGGAAGAGGACTAAGGAAGTTCCCACGTGTTTCCAAGCCATTGGGGGCACCTGCAACTCTCCCAGCAGGAAGGGATCCTCGGGTACTTTTCGTTCAAGATCGCGCCTCTGTAGACCTTTCTCTAGCTATGCCTTACTGTATGCTTCCATGTAAGTGTGACACCCTGTGGTGTTACTCAGCATTTACTATTAGCTTATAGCTGGCTGCAGACAGAAGATGGTGCCAAGAGCTGCAGAGGCAGCAGGGGCAGAGGAACACCTCGTAGGGGTCGTTTTGTCCTTAAATAGTGTTTGTCCATTCCTATAGTGAGCATTAGAAATGCACTTCTCATACTTTCAACTGGTTTATTCTATTTCTTTTTCTCATTAAAGACATGCTACATCATAGCCTGAGTCTTCGTGTTCATTTTGCCTCTGGTCTGAAGTGGTGACGTGCTTTGGTCGCAACTTATTGCTGTGTGGGTGTTGTTTTTTCGGTCTGAAATGGGAATTTCTGGTGCTAGTGCCACACTGTGCTGATGTGAGCACGTGGCTTGCTGTGTCCAGCCCAAAGGAAAACTTTTGCAGACCTTTATTTCTACCCTACAGCAAATACCAGCTTAGGGAAACATGCAACAGCCTCACTGCCTTTTCCCACAAGACTGTGGCAACATCAAGGTTTGCTGCTTCAAAATGGTATTTTGCCTGTTTTTGCAGTGAGTTTTTGGTTTGATGGAGGGTAAAGAGACATAAGTTGCCTTCTTGGGAGGCGCTTCTCCAAATGGTCACCCTTTGTCCAATTTTGCCCAGAGAGCTGGGGTCACCACCTCTAGAGGTGTTCCACAGCTGCAGAGATGTGGCACCAAGGGACGTGGTCAGCAGGCATGATGGGGTGGGTTGATGGTTGGACTTGGTGATCTCAGAGGTCTTTCCCAACCTTAACGACCACACAAGTCTATGACTACAGCTACCTGGGGCAGCTGTAGTATAATCAGGGAATGGAGAGATCAGCACATGCCAGACCACTCCTCTTGGATCCTTGCTTTCTGTTGCTGAACAGAGTAATGTAAAACCACATACAACATTAGAGAAAGGCCCTAATGCTATCGTACTGGCTGCTGACACACTTGGAGCTGGATAACAGCTGTGATTTCTGTGCAACAAGAACATTTCTGTCATTTCCAGTCTTCCTTTCTGCTTTCGATGATGGCAGAGGCAGGAAGCATCTGTATCTCCATGAAAAAATCACTTAAAACAACCCGTTTTATTAAAAATATATTCAAAATGAATACAAAATCTCTCTTTCCATATGTTTCAGGGGACTTCCTCAGACCTAATGAGAATATCTCTATTTCTGGCCATAGCTACAGCACGAGCTCCTCCCTGAGCTATTCCCAAAAATAAGGGCCTGCAGATTTAGACTGAAGTCATTAGATGAAGAAGAATAACTATTTTACAGGGAGAGGAGGTAGGCACTGAGTAAGCCTCTTTGTAAGATGCCACGGAACATCAAGCAGAACATTTTCAGCTAATGAAATGAGGAATAAGAGTGCAACTAAGTCCTCCATAGACTTTGTATAAATCTTTCAGTCTTTATACATTTTGGTGGTGTGAAAATCTACACAGAGCTTATGAGTGTTTAGAATGAGGTATTATGCTGGGCTTGGAAGCAAGTTGGTCTTACCAAGCTCAACTGGTTCTACTGCTCAGATCTTCATAGAAGTGCTCCTAATTTGGAAACACCCTGCATGGCACTTGCTAGGCAATTAGAGCTCTGGGAACAAAGAGGTGTGGGTTCCCATCCATGTTCCAAGGACTACTGAGGTATTTTTAGACCAACTGCAGACATTGTTCCATAGAGAGGGAATGCAAAATTGTCTCGAGTGCCGCAAAGAGGAAAAGCAGTGAATTAGTAGCAAGAGCATCATTAGAAAGTTATAGGCATCTGAGGCTGGTACATCTGCTTTCCCACAGCCTGCTGCATAGGACAGTGCAGGATGGAGCAGGGGAAAAGAGTAATGACATTTTGATATAGCATTTCACAATGACTCCATGGATGAGATGGTACAGACTTTTATTTTTCTGAAGAGCCAGTGTCTCAAAGGAGACTGAAATCCATGCAAGTCCTTAATTTGACTTGAAATTTGTGATGTCTCAGTGCAGACAGAACTGGGGAAAGGAGAATCTGGGGCCCTGCAGTGATCCCCAGCACAAGGCACCTGGCACCTGTCTCCAGGGCTGCTGTGACTCATGGCTGGGGGCCTGGCCATCTTGGCTGCCAGCACAAGAGCTGTCCTGAATTCACTCCACTTTGTTTTCCCCCCAGACAGTGCTTGCCCCAAGCAGAACCACACAGACTTGCTAATTAGGCCCTAAAATGCAGGTTCCTGTAAAGACATTGCAGCCACAGGCCCAGTGAGAAACTGGAAACTACAGTTGAAGACTGAGATGAAAAATAGAGCTCAGTGGGTGGAAAGAGGCACATAGAAGGAAATAGGTGGGTGCTGGGGTTTGGTCACAGCATTACTTTCTCACGGCTTCCAGCAGCACTGCTCAGAAAAGACTGGAGTGTAATCTAAATGACTCTTGGGCCATGCCTGGATCTATAGAGTTTCGTGACTTTTGTTGTCCTCTCATCTTTCTCACCTGTTCATGTCCTTGGAAGAAACCTCTTCCCCACCAAAATGCAGGATACTCCTCCTTCAGCAATCTGTGCTTCCTGGAGGCTCCTACTTCCCTTCATTTTCATTCTTCTATCCTTTGCTTTTGTGGACCCAATTGCACTAGCAAAAATTACAGTGGTGGAGTACTCCAGCTCAAATCATGATGTTCTGGAACTGGGATGGTGACAACTCCCTTTTAGGAGATCATGTCCACCGGGGTGTTGATCTCCTTTTTAGGTTGTTTATTACCACAACCTCATCCCAGCTTACACCACCAGCCTTGGTGAATGGACTCACTTGGTTTGTTCTGCATTTCTGTGCTTGGGGAAGCCAACAGTAGCGGAGAGCAAGTATCTACTGCATAAGGAAAGCCCACAGCTCTTTCCAAGTGCAGTGATGGGTGCCTGGCTCCTCTGGGGATGGAGAAAGGGGAGAGGAAGGATGGCTTGGTCTGCAACAAATGGAGACACACAAAGAATTGTCATGGAAAAGAGAGGACTGCTACAAATGGTGAGTCAGTGAGACTGTCAGGAGTGGAAGCCCCAGGCAAACTGGGTTTGGTGAGGAACAGATTGGTAGTGACTAGGTGGTTACTGAGACAGCAGGATTCCAGTACCTCCGAGTTGTGTGACAGGGATAAGAGGGAGGAGAGATTGCTGCTCAGGTGGGCAAACTGCCCCAGACACCAATGGCTGCACCCACAGGCCAGCCATGGGGCAGAGGCCTGCAAAAGCCTGGGGACCCAGACAGGCAGTGATTCCAGCCTTGGGGAACTCCACAGTGAGGGCTGTGGTTCTTCCTCAGGGCTGGAAATCTCACGGAGCAAAGTAATCACAGGTCACCCACACAGCTGAGTCACAAAGGAAAAGGCACAGAAATCAAAAGGCACTAGTATCCTGGTCTGGTCCTTCTGGTGCCACTCATGGAAGCAGGGACCCATGGCTCACATCCTGATGAGCTGGAAGCTCCGTTTGTTTTGTCAGCACTGTGCTGCACCCTGAGCCTAAACCAGCACCACAGACTGTACTCAGCTACCCACAACCTCTGAGTTGCTCCCCTTGGGGATGGGGTGACAAGGGTGCCAGCACAGCCCAGGTCCAGAATGTTTACAGCATCCTGGACTGAAACAGCCAGGGATGCAAGTTTGAAACTCAATAATTATTAAGTTAAATATTCCAAGGCTATAATTTCTGTTTGTTGAGATGTGTCTGCACTGTTCTGAGGGAAGATGAGGGTGATCTGCTTACGGCTGTGTAAAGGTGGTTCTTGCTTGCATTCCTTGAGTGGTGGTGGTAGAGCTGGGCAAAGCTGCTCATTGGGCCATGGTGCTTTGCTCTTCCGTCTCCATCTTCAGCATGAGGAGTGGCCCAGGCCTGGTCCTGGCTGTGCTGTGTGGTGTTAGTGTGTGTTAGAGAAGTGACATCCGTGCACACAGGGTCTGTTCTCAGCTGTGAGCATTGGGGCCACTCAGGGCAGAGGTGTGGAAAAGAGTTCGGCTTGCACCTCTGACACCCAAAGCAAGAATCATGCACAGACCAGTGAGCCAGGGCACGCAGGCTCCCCCAGCAGCACGCTGTGCCAGCAGCTCTTGTCCTCGGCGCTGCACTGCACAGAGGCTTGCAAACACCAGGCACAGGCACTGCGCAGTGCAGAGCAGTCCCAAGCATAACAAAACTTGGCCTCCCACTTCCCCACCTCTTGCAGGGCTGCAAAACTGGGCAGACGGTGGGGCTTCTGTCCCTCCTGCACTGGGCTGCCCATACACACAGCCCTGCCGGGGGCTTTGATGTGGATTCAAACAGCTGGAGGAGACACATGCAGCCTGTCCTTGGCAGGGTCTCAGAATGGCACTCCCATCTCCAGGCCAGGGGTAAAATCCTTCGCTGTGAGCAGGATTCGAACCTGCGCAGGGAAACCCTATTGGATTTCAAGTCCAACGCCTTCACCCCTCGGCCATCACAGCCTCAGCCTGGCGCCCCTGGGGGCACTCCTGTCCACAGCCCTGGGCACACCTTGTCCCATGGCATTACCCAGGCACTCGTATGTACACCCATGGCCCCCATCCTGCAGTTCAGGAAGTCCTGCTGGGAGGCTAGGAGACCCCCACAGTGTGCCTGGAGCCTGGTAGCAGGAACTGAGCCCAGCAGTGCCAGAGGCTGCGCTGCCTGCAACACCCCAATGCATGGCACTTCTGAGTGGGACCCCAACAGCTGTACATCTTGGCTTTTTTTTGGTCTAGGGATATGATTCTCACTTAGAGTGCAAGAGGTCCCAGCTTCAGCTCCTGGATGAGCCCTCCCCTTTTGGACACCATTGCCCTTCAGGCTGTGAGGACAGGGCACTGATCAGACCCAAAGCCCCGAAGCACCCTGACATCTTGGGCACAACTCCCCTGCTACTTTGCTTCCCACCACGGCCAGCAGCCATGTACTGACTTGTTGGTTGGCAAAATTCCGAGCAAAGTCATGGCCAGGTCAAAGTCCCCCCTAGTTAGGAACATCAGAATTGACTGAGTTAGAAAGAATGCTTAAAGTTCAACTAGTTCAATTTCCTTGCAGTGAACAGGGACATCTACAGCTACATCAGGTTGCTCAGAGCCCCGTCCAGACAGATCTTGAATGTCTCCAGGGATTGGGCATGCACCACCTCTCCGGGCAAACTATGCCAGCCAGTGCTTCACAACCCTCATCGTATATTTTTTTCCTTATATCTAGCCTAAGTCTCCCCTCCTTCAGTTTGAAACCT